AGTTAAGACGGTCAAGAGAACCTCTAAGCGTAAGCCGTGGTTCACGGTTCACATTGACTCCCTGAGTGCTGAAAGAGATCGCTTATACAGAGTGTACGCTCTAGAAATGCGCTTGAGGAATACCGCTTGGCTCGTGATCGAGCTCATCATGAGGTTGAGGGAGCGCGGCAACTGTTTTTCCAACAGAAGCTAATGCCTCTCACTGATCCTGCCATGGTATGGAAGGATCTGCGGCACCTTGGTGTTGTTCAGGTTGCCAATGAAAGTAGTGATCATGATCCTGAGGTGTTGAATGCTCATTTTGCTAGGGTTTCATTTGATGAGGATGAGCCCCCGGTTGACAACTTTCTTGGGTCTTTGGTGAATCGGGTGATGCCTAGCGTTGGAGAGAGTTCTTTTTTCAGGTCTGTGTCAGCTGACGAAGTACAGAAAGTCATTGGGCACTTCTCTACGAAAGCCAAAGGGACTGATGGTGTCCCCAGAACTGTTGTCGTGGCCGCCCTACCGTTCTTGACTCCTTTCCTCCTCAGGCTCTTTAACACGTCTCTTTCTACTTCCTCTTTTCCTTCCCAGTGGAAGAGGTCCCTTATAGTAGCGCTTGGCAAGGTGAAGAATCCCGCCTCGGCCAATGACTACCGACCTATAGCATTGCTGTGCTTCTTGGCCAAGGTCTTGGAGAGACTCGTCTCCCTTCAGATCCATGGCTACCTTGCTGAGCGTGCGATACTGGATCCTTTTCAGACTGGTTTTCGTCCTTACAAGGGCACTCAGACAGCACTGCTCAAACTGACGGACGACATACGTGTAGGTATTGACAAGCGACAGATGACCATGTTATTTCTTTTTTACTTCAGTAAGGCCTTTGATTCGGTGTGTCACGTGCTGCTTCTTCGGAAGCTCTTCGACTAGGGCTTCTCGCGTGGTGTCATTGAATGGCTGGCGTCATACCTCTGTGGTCGATCGCAAGCCACGCTAGGGGCTAATGGCGGCATATCTTCTTTCCGCCCATTGAATAGGGGGGTTCCGCAGGGGTCTATTCTTGGCCCCCTGCTTTTCCTTCTGTTCATTAATGACATCCGCGAGGGTTTGCTGCCGGATGTTCAGCACCTGATCTATGCCGACGATCTTCAGGCCTACCTTCGTTTCACACGTGATGAGTTTAAGGAGGCAACTGCCAAGATGACGATTGTTGCCAATCATGTTATGGACTGGGCTATACGTAACCGCCTTCAACTGAATGTCGCCAAGACCAAGGCTATCATCTTTGGCTCTCATTATTATGTTAATGAAATCTATTCTTTGCCCAATCTGCCCATTACGCTTTGTGATGCATCCGTCCCCTTTGAGTCCTCAGTGCGCAGCCGTGGAGTGGTTCTAGATAGCAAGCTGGGATGGAGGAGTCATGTGGCGAGTATTACTCAGAAGGTTCACTCTGTGATGTATCGTCTACGTTTCTTTCGTGCCAGTACCACTCTAGGTCTGCGTAAGCACCTGATCGAGAGTCTGGTGTTCCCGCTGGTCGATTACTGCTGCCTTGTGTATGATGGTCTCTCTGAGGAGCTCTGTTAAGATCCAACGTCTCATCAACATGGGGGTTAGATATGTCTTGGGGGTGAGGCGGGACGAGCACATTACCCCTTACCGTGTGCGGCTGGGTTGGATGTCGTGTGAGACTCGCAGGAACTATTTTCTGGCTTGTCTATGCTACAGGATTCTCTCCTCTAGAGAGCCAAGTTATCTTGGCTGAATTTTTGTTATTTCAGCTGAATTTTTTGTGGCCAGCCGAGGTGCGTAGCCGGTGAGGGGTGAAGTGAGTCCGTTGCTTGTCAAGTCTTCCAGGACAGAAACCCTGCGTCGATCCTTTCATGTCACTGCGGCTTATACTTGGAACTCCCTTCCTGCTGCTATTAGAGACCTTCCCTCTATTTCCTCTTTCAAAGCAGCTTTGCGTGCGTACTACATGGACAATTCTTGACTGTCTCTATGATACAGTGTACGCATCGTTTCTGCTCTCCCGTGTTTCCCGCTTTTCTTTTCTTTTTCTTCTTCTATTTTCGTCTTTCTCCCCTGATCTCCTTTTTCCTTTCTATCGAGAGCCCTTCCGCTGGTTTTTGGATCCTCTTTTTTGACTACCAGTGGTGTTCATCAAGCATGGTTTTCATTTCTGCCTTTATTTATTATTTTTTGTCCTTTTTCTAGTGCTGTTTGCTATTTACAGATATTTTTTCTGCTTTATTCTTTGCCTATTGCTTGTAACTTGCTATTATGACTTTAGTCATAATTATTTTGTACAACATAATGTACAGTTAATAAATCATCAATCAATCAATCAATCACCACCCCTCTCAGAAGAATTCCGTTATTAGCTCCCTAATGTATAGAGCACTTACAATCTCTCAACTCTCCAACGTTGACAGTGAAGTTGAACATCTTGAGATAGCTCTGACCAAGAATAGATATAACATCCAACAAATTCGGAAGGTCAAGCAGAAGCTACAGAGCAAGCTCTCATCTCCCGAAGAGGAGACTAATCCTGAGGAAAACCAGGAAAGACCAAAAGTGGCCCTCCTCCCCTATCTGAGAGGCACAACAGAACGCATAAGTAGAGTACTTGGCAAACATAACATTCGAACGATCTTCCAGCCCCCAAAGAAGATCGGACAGATGCTGCCAAGTGCAAAGGATCCAAGACCACCTCTGAGCGCACCAGGAGTGTACGAGATCCCCGGCTCATGCGGGAAAGTGTACATTGGAGAAACCGGGAGGAAGATCAGTACACGGATCAAGGAACACCAGCGGTGCTCCAAATACGGTCACTTAGAACAGTCTGCCTTGACTGAACACTGGATGGACACTGGACATACTATCCAGTACGACCAAGCCAGAACGTTGGCCAAATCTCAAGGGTATTTCGAAAGGAAATACCGAGAGGGTTTGGAGATCTATAAAAACCCTAACAACCTCAACAGGGACAGAGGATATCAAGTGAACCCCAGTTGGAAAACCGTCCTCCCGGTTTTTTAATTGACCAGCTGATCAATTAAAAACATATGATTGGCTGATCACCTCACCCCCCTTCCTCTTCCACCGCCATCACAAGGGAAGGCATATAAGGACTACGCCAAGACATCGGCGCTCAAAATCGGAGCTCATAGCCCTGAAGATGCAGACTGCAATGTTTGCGAAACGCCGGCGCAACGCTGAATCCAAACGCGGCATCCATCCGGAAGCCAAAGATATCATTAATCATGGCCGCGAAAGCCTCAAAACTAACAGAATAAAGTATTAAAAATTGTCAAACTAATGCCAAATACTAAATTTAAATGACGCGAAAAGATTCGTAATTTTGTCGATGATTTTTCCTGAAAATTTTGTTTAAAATAAATGATATTCTTGAGATAATCACGATTGAAAAAAAAACGTTTGGGCGCATAGACTCCGTAAAATTGAAGCAAATGCAGCAAGTGACGTCTCATTTTGACGGTGATAGGAGACAATGATAGGAGACTCTGGTGAAGCAATATGCGATTCAAAAAATGCAATCGTGCCTCCAGTCTCGAGTTTGTTTTCAATCATGAGCGCCGTGGCGGCACCTGAATTAGAGGAGCTCACAAACTATATTTCCTATATTTCAGTTCTCAGGAGTCTCGTAACAACGAGAAACCTTAAATTAATTAAGGATAATCGGGCCAGGAGGAAATGTAGGAGGTGCGGTGAATCCATTCGGATTCAAAATTCAGGCAATATTAGGAAGTATCTCCGGTTAAAAATTATTTTTGGAGCTAATCAAATTTATTTGCATCTGTTCCACGCATTGAACGGTTTTCAGATTGTTTTTTTTTTATAAATGAAAAAATATTAATCCATGCGAAAAAGTGGCAACATCGTCAGTAGTGTTTTTTTTCACCTCGAGGGAGCTCCAATCACAACGCTTCATCGCTCTCTCTCTCAAGAGACGTTTAAATTGACCGCGCTACCCCCACCCGATCGGCACTTGAGACGTTGCTACTCGTTTGGGCTGCGTGCGCAGAAATTTCATTTTTCAGTACTTTTTTCGCTATTATTAATAAACAATGCTCCTAGGCGACAATCTTTTTCACTCAAAAAATCATTGATCACATGTTCTAAATGTGTCTAAAGGTTTCATGACTTTGACTGCTTTTTTTCCTTGGGTTTTGCAGTTTTTTTTGTGATTTCCATAAGATCACGGGTTAAATGACCACTTTTTTAAAAATTCATAATAAATTAACCAGGTTCCCCAGCAGTCTGAAATTTTGCACATGCCTTTTCCATCATTTAAAGAATACGTAAAAAATAAAAGAGAAAAATGGCTGCTTTTTTTCTAACCCTCCGAGCTCGCCCGATTGTCCTTAATGAACGCATTGGAAAATTTTCCTGAGCTAGAAGAGCATTCTGTTGAGGCTTCAATTCACTCGATTGAATAATTGTCCCGAAATGTGCACTGCACCTACATCCACAACCCATGGAGAGCGTGCGTGCACTTATTTTCGTGCGTTTGTCCCGCCTTATTTACTTATCCTAGCCTCCGACACTTGTTCCTCCGTTAATTGTTCTCCAAAGTCGCTCATTATCAGAGAGGGCACAACGGCGTCACTTCATGTGACTGAGCCATGGGGCACCGCCTCTTGTGGGTTTTCTTCGGTGATTTTCCACTGGAAAAGGTTCTTACTGGATGAAGTATCTTACGGTTGGTGGATATTCCGAGAGAGTTTGGGGGTCCTGACGAGCATTCTATGCACTCCTAGGTGCATTTATTCACTTATCCAGACAAGTTTTGGCGGATGCATCTCGACCTCGATTATTCCGAAGGCCTGTGCATCTTCTCTGGGGTAAAACACTTTGGGCTCACTGCTGGAAAGTGCACTTCTCTCCAGAGGGAAGAGTGCACACGGAATAAAAGTTAAAACTTACCATAATTCCTTAGTGATGTTCCCCCGCCAAACACTCTGGATCCTCGTCGCTTCAAAAAGTCCTCGGTGTCCTCTGATCAACGGCTATTGTTGCCTTCTTCTTCTTCAATTGTTATGGCACTGATTGTATACTTGTCTTGCGGCCGGTATCCCTTGAGAATTGGGCGAAGGATTCGAATTTTTAAATTAGTTTGTTGATGGATTTGCGGCAGTTTGTTGTGATGTATGATAATTTGGAGGAGGGAGATGTCAGGATTTTAGTCATGTTTTGTAAGATTTTATGTTCAGCATTTTGAATGATTTGATGAGTGCTGTACGCTCTTTTGTATACTTTGGACAGTACCAGAAAACATGTGAGAGAGATTCTATTTGTTTGCAAGAGCAGAGGGGGGAGTTGACTATTCTTTTCCTGTAAAGGCTTTGGTTGAGATTGAAATGGTTTGATCTTATTCTTGAGATGGTTGTTATTTGTGGTCTGTCAATTTTTAGGGTTTGGAACCATGGGGGGTTCCAATCCTTATAGAATTTTTTGAAGTATTCATTGCCTTTGTTCATGTTTGTAGCTTGATTGCGGAGGAGTTTGGAGGTTTTAGATTTCATTCTGCTGGTGATGAATCCTTTGAAGTCAGTAAAGGGAATAGGAGAGTCAATGAGTTCGCCGTATTTGATTGACTCTTTTGCATATGAGTCTGCTATTTCATTGCCGGAAATACCTACATGGGAGGGGATCCAGACAAATGTGACTTCTGTGCCGCTGAGTGATAGCAATGATCATTAATCAAGAAACCGATATATGATGTGTGAGTTTGATTTCACCGAGTAATTTGTTAGGGCTGTGAGTACGCTTAAGGAATCCGTGAGGATGACTGATCTTGAGATACTGTGTCGTTGTATTGCTTTTAGAGATGAGAGAATGGCAGGGGCTTCAGCAGTGAAAATTGATGCAAATGAAAAGATTTTGTTTTATTATTACATCGAGGGAGGGAATGTAAACTGCATAACCGACATATGAACCATCTGGGGTTTTCGAGCCATCTATATAAATTTGAGTGGGCGATTCGCGATTTTCTGCTTGTAGTTCATTTTGGAGGGATGAGTTAACGTTTTTAGTATTTTATATTCGATGGCCTAGTGAGTTATCTATGTGTGGTGATGCATTGATGAGGCTGAAGGGGAATTGGTAGGGAATCGGATGGGCGTGAGAGTGAATTTTGGGTTGGTGATGGAGGAGTCTGTTGTAGGATCTATATAAGAAGAAATCAGTTTTGATGTTGATGGTTGTTAAGTATTCTTTCTTTCGAGTATGAGGTGAAGTTCTGAGAGTTTGTCGAGTAAGGGATGCTCTGAAAGGGAGAATTTTCTCATCATGAATCTGTCGGAGAGTTGTAAGATTCTAAGTGAAAGGGGGGGTTCAGCAGTTTCTGCCAACATAACGTTTGTAGGGGTGGTGTTTCGATATCTAATAGCTAGTCTTAAGGCCTGGTATTGTAGTTTATTTAATTTTTCGAAGTCGTTGTAATTAGTAAAGCGAAGGATGTGATTTCCATATTCAATTGTACTGCAAAGGAGTCCGCGATAAAATACGATGAGGTTTCTGGGGTCAGGTCCATACCAGGTTTTTCTCAGTGATTTGATTAGGGAGATAATTTTGGAACCCTTCTGGGCCACTGTATTAATGTGCTTGGAGAAGGAGAGTCTGTAGTCGAAGGTTATTCCCAGGAATTTAGTGGATTCTTCAGCTATGAGTGGCGAGTCATTAGTTGTAATGGAATGATCTGAGGGATTGAAGTGTTTTTTGGAAAAAATGATGAGGTACGATTTTTCCGGGGAGATTTCTAGTTGTTTATCAGTTAGGAATTCAGATATTTTGTTTACTGCTTTTTCGACGGATGCTAAGCAGGTTTCAAGGTTGCGGTTTCGAGAGTAGATGGCGAGATCGTCAGCAAATGAGATGGAGTCAGTTTTCGATTCCTTTATAGAAGGGAGGTTGGCAAGGTAGAGATTCAAAAGTATGGGGCTAAGCACCGAGCCCTGGCCTGTACCCATGTTCATTGGAAACGGGCCTTCAAGGTTTCCTTGGATAACAAAGTATGATTGTCGGTAACCCAGGAGAAAATAGATGAAGTTAGCTATTTTTAGGGGAATACCTAGACGAGTTAAGTCTCCATAGAGCTTGAGGGGACCACATGATCAAATGCTCCCTTTACATCGACAAATATGCAGGCAGTGAATTAATTGGAGGCAAAGCCCCTAAGAACTTCTGTGGAGAGGATTGCCAAATTGTATCAGCAGGAGCGCATTTTTCTGAATCCAAATTGAGTGTTAGGAAGAATATTTTGAGACTCAATCCACCAAGTGAGTCCATTTGCAACTATCTTTTCGCATAGTTTGAGGTAGCAGGAAACGAGAGCTATAGGGCGGAATTTGTTGGGTGATGATTTTGGAAGGAGAAAGATGAGAAACTGTCTCCAGGAGTCTGGAAATTGTCCAGCGTTGAGGATTTTGTTAAATATGTCTAGGAGTATGTCTTTGTATTCTGGGGATAGTTTACTGATTATTACATAGTCAATTTTGTTAAGACCTTGGGAGGATTGTTCTTTCATTGAGGCTGAGGCTTGCGAGAATTCTTGGGGAGAAAATTCTTCTTGGAGGAAAGAGTTAGATTCAAAGGGGATGGTAGGAGAGAGAGAGAGAGGGGGACAATAGTTTGGTGAAAGGTCGGGACAGAAATCAGTTATGAATTCTCTCATTTTGTTGGCTGATTCATTGTTTTGTTTGGGGATATGATTGGGGTTGTAATTATTACGGTTTTTGAACCGTCTTATCTTGTTCCAAACTAGATTTATGGGGATGTCTCTATCAAGAGTGGAGCAGAAATTCTTCCAACCTTTTAGTTTTTCTCTTTTGAGGGTAAGTTTGGTGAGACCCGCCTGTCTTTTTATGGCTATGTAATTTTCTTCGGAAATAACTTTCCTAAAGGCAATAGTTATTTTCCGTCTGAGAACTACTGCTTTTGCACATTCTTTGTTCCACCAGGGGGCTAGGGGGGGGGGGGGGTTTCTTTTGTTTCTTGAGTGAATTTGGCCATGGAGAAGGGTTTGGGGATTTGTTATTTGCGTTTTTTATTGGGATCGAGTATTCTATGGCTTTCATGATATTGCTAATGAGAGAATCATATATCGATTTGGGGGGGATATCATATGGCAGATCATTAAGAATATTGATATTGGAGGATAGTGATTCATCAAAGAGAGTCCAGTCTGTTTTTGATTTGTTAATTTTATAGGAAAATGGAGTATTCAGGGGGACAGTTTATATTAAAAGCTACGGGGAAGTGGTCGCTGCCCATGTGGTCAGTTAATACGTTCCAGTTTGATTAGAGTGTGATGTCGGAAGAAATGAGGGTGAGATCCACACATGATGGGGCTTCGTTTGGGGACGTGATTCTTGTCGGGGAGCTGTCATTGAGTGGGACGAGTTGGGAGTTTGCGAGTGCATCAATGAGATTGGTGCCCGAATCACAAGAGGTAATACTACCCCACACCTCGGAGTGAGAGTTGAAGTCATCATCAATGATTGTAGCGTGGGAGGAGGAGGGAACGTTGAGGAGTTTGAACCATTCTTGGGATGAGACGGTTGGCCCTGGTTTCTTATAGAGTGATATGATGGCTAATTCGCCGTGGATGGATGGAATTTTAGCTCCGAGTAAATGGAGATTGGGAGAGATTTTTTCGAGGTTGGGGATTCGAGTGTACGTAATAGAGTCTTTAATGGCTAAGGCTATTCCCAGACCTTGTTAGTCGAGGACGTCTAATCTGATTAGTCGGAATCCTGGGAGATTGATTGGCAGTTTCTCTGATTTGAGCCACGTTTCAGAGAGGATGATTATGTTAAATTTATAGGATATGTTGCGTAAATCTCCTAATTTTTGTCTGAGGATTCGGCAATTCCATTGGAGGAGTTTAAGAGAGGAGTTGACTGTACTAGGGTTTCTTGTGTTATCCATTATATGGAACTTTTAGGGATTGTAAGGGATTCTGGGGAAATCCCTTCGCTCACCGCGGACCAAAAGAAAAACTACCAGGAAACTGTAAATACGCAGAAAAATATGACCCAGTCGAGCCATTTGTTTAATCGAGTCAAGTGTTTTGCGTCATTGAGATTTATTAAGATTTTGGTTTTTGCGTTCTAACGCCTCTCATATCACTTTTTTGTTATTCGGGATCTTGTTTTGACTATTTTTCAGGAATTTTCCCTTCTTTTTAAATCTTCGGGGAACAGTGTAGGAGTAGTTGAAATGGTACCGCTCAATGAGTGAATTTTTGGGGATTAGGATAGGTTCGTTGTGAGTATTGGATGGAAGGTTACGCGATCAATTTCGACCGTTGCTCTCGCGTAAATTACCGAGGTCGCTAGGCTTTAAATTTTTTTTGTTATTATCATTCTTTTGTAACTAGTCTCACGCTTATTTGTTCATCATATTTTTCCTTACCCCAGGATCCCGAGAATACGGCTCCGAAGAGGAAATTATAGTTAAATAGAACTTTTCCGAGTTGATAACCCGCTCTAGCACCCATTTAAATCGTTTTCTCAATTAATTTTCGTTTAAATTTGAATTTTTGCGCGTATAGAAATTTCGATTACCGATCGTTAGCTAATTATTGCGCAATCTTGATGCACGTGGCGCTCCGTCCACGTCTCCTCTCCATGCGCCAAGCCACCATCGTGGCCCATCGAGCGTCAGTATCGATTTGCATACCCTACGTGTTGTATACCACCGTGTACAGTGCGTTTAGTTTTCGTAGTTTTCGGCTGTAATTAGGAGTTTTAGTGCATTAGAAGACAATTGTGGTTAAGCGGAAGAGTATTAGTTGACATTACATTAACATACACATACATACACATTAATGCATACACATATTAGTTAGATAGTTAATACGAGACATTTGAGGGCCGTGGAGATTTGTATGTGGAGATTTTGCCGAGGAGCCGATAAGCGCAGAGTTGTGCATCGTTTCGCTGGTGAGTTTCACGAGGATTTTTGGTGATGGAATTCGCGTATTTTTGGGAATTATTTTCGTAGGTTTTCTCATCTCAGGTCTTTTAGGACTATAATTAAGTGATTTTTGGAAGTTTACTCTGTGCGGTAGAG